GAAGATGCCAGTGCAGGTGCTGGCTGACAAACCCCAAACTGTCCAGGAGCGCTTGATGCTTGTGTGAGAAGAGCCCGCGGATTTTCAGGAACACAGAAGCACCCGGTCACTGGAAAAGCCACGTTTCCACACCGGATCTCTGGAGCTCTCCAGTTACAGAATCACAGAATCACAGAATGGTAGGGGTTGGAAGGGACCTCTGGGGGTCACCCAGTCCAACCCTTCTGCCAAAGCAGGGTCACCTACAGCAGGCCGCACAGGACCGCGTCCAGGCGGGTCTTGAATATCTCTGGAGAAGGAGACTCCACAACCTCCCTGGGCAGCCTGGTCCAGGGCTCCGTCACTGAGTTCTGAAGACCTCCAAGGATGGAGTTTCCACAGCTTCTCTGGGTCCTGGAAGAGCAGAGCGAATAAGGGCTGAAAATTCACCATTTGCTTGTCTTAGGCACCAAAACATCTTCCCGGAGGCTCCTCTGGCTCCTCTGCTTGCAGACCAAGGAACCCAGCACCTCTGGGGATGGTGAAGGAGAACACCAACTAGGGCTTGGAGCTCGGTTTTCAGGCAGAGGGTGGTGATGACCAGGGAAGACTCCTTTTCATGTCCCTCTTGCTCTAGAAATTGCTGCAGCTGCTGAGACACTTCCCCGTGCTGCACCCCGTTCGAACCGCCGAGAGGAAGCCACTGTCACCCAAAAAAAGACCAATAAGGAAAAAGAGCATCTCAGTAACACACCAGGAAAAGCTGGACGTGCTCTTCAGGTTTCACTGCAAAAATTGCTGCAGGCTCCTGGACAGAGACGGTTTCTTCCACCTTCATGGAAAGCAGCATCCTGTGAACTGAACCTATGTGCATTTTTCAGAAAAGACTTTAAAATGAGGAATTAGGTATCATCTTGTGTGCTTTTCTTCCTCTCCCCCGAACTGAGAAAAGTAATCTCCGAGGGAAGAATTTAATCAAAGCCAGCTGCTAATTACTTTCCTGACACCAGGGGAGAAGAATGTTGGCATCAGAAATATCTGGAAGATTTTCATGATTAATATTTGATAAATCTGTAATTGGATCGTTTGATTTTTTGGTCTCCTTTGAATAGAGGTAAAAACTTTATTGAAATTAATCTTTATGAATTCAGGCCACAAACTTCAGGGGATGATAACTCACTGATTGATTTGAGTATCTTGAAGTGCTAACCCTGGAGAGAAGATAAATTGGGATTGCCTAAGGACAAGTCAATACAGACTGAATGTAATCCAGAGTGCTTTCCTATTAAGGGAAATAAATTACATTCTATGAAGAGTTAAAGTTGAATATCTCTAGCCTTTTTTTGCTGAAGTTCAGAGATTTGACATGAATATTTAATTTAAAAGCAAATAAGAATTAAGTGTGCTAACATTGAATTAATAAAATAGTTGAGCAGCATGCAATAGTGAGCAAATGTTCTCATGAAAAAATACGAAAATCGAAAGTACAACATTATAGTTATCTAACATATCATATTGTATAGAAATGGAGAAAAGACTTTCTCTGGATCCCAATAAAATAAAGCAGAAATTCTATTAAATGCAGTAAGAACATTGTGGGTCTGAATAGTATTACTACGAATAAAAAAAACAATTTCTTGCTCTGATTTTTAGCTATTGAGTTATGTATTGAAATCTTTAGATCTGGTGTATGTCAATAACCCAGCAGCAAAGCAAAAGAACCTGTCCAGAAATATCTGGTCTCTAACTAAAGCAAATTAAAGGCCATGGGCACATTCACTGAGGGATCTGAATGCCCAGTCTTTTATTTTGAAGGCACGAGATTAAAGTTCCCTTTCCTTAACCCACATCACTGCTTTGAACGGACAGCAAAGAAACGGCAAAAAATAAGAAAGAAGAGTCTTAATCCTAGAATTCCAACGTGGCTCGTGGGCGTTTCCCCTCTACTGCAGAGGCAAACAGCAATAAAGCTTTTTCATATTAGCTTTAAAGCAGATTTGGGTTTGGGCACCTCTCCCCTGGTACTTTTAATTCAGCATTTAAATAGCTGCATTAGTATGCGCAGCGCTTTCCGCATATGCAAGCAGGGAGGGTTTTGCCTCAAAGAACTCATCACCTAAATTAAATCACAATATGGAAAAAATGACTGAAAAGCTACCCGAAAGCAACACTGAGTCTTCAGATAGCGACAAAGCTTTCTTCTTTCCGCTTTCCATCGCGGCCAAGATTTATGAGACGGCAAGGTATAGAGGGCGATCGCCTGCGCCAGGCAAGCAAAAAAGGCCAAACTTGGAGACAAAGACGACGTGTGGAAGGCTACTCCAGACACAGAATTAGGAAATTGATGAAGATGGCTTTCTTAGAAAAGCTAGAAAGATGTAGCGTACGAGAAGTCACGGATTTGGTAGATAGGGCATGATGGCCGGTGGAGGATGTCCCTGCTCATGGCAGGGGGGCTGGGACCAGATGATCTTTAAGGTCCCTTCCAACCCAAACCATTCTATGATTTTATGATTCTACAGCTAAAGCGTTTGAAGTGGATGAGGAAAAAGGCAAATACAAAGCTGAAAAAGAAGGAGCCAAGACGACCCTTCCCACAAACACACTTCAGGGCAGAGGGGGACAAATGTGTCATGTTCCAGGTGACGTTAAAAACAAGGATGGCCATTCGAACCCAGGTTATGTACAGGAAAACCAGTCCGGTCCTGCAAACGACAAGGGAGCACGTGCAGGAGCTCTACACAGGCACAGGGACGTGGCCTTGGAATCAGCACTCTAGACTGTGTATCACAGAATCACAGAATCACAGAATCACTGAATCACAGAACCCACAGGGGTTGGCAGGGCCCTCTGTGGGTCACCCAGCCCAACCCCCTGCCCAAGCAGGGTCACCCAGAGCAGGCTGCACAGCACCGCGTCCAGGCGGGGCTGGAATATCTCCAGAGAAGGAG